CTGCGTGGCATGCCGGTTTGATGCGAAAGGCGTGGCAAGCCGAGGTTTAGTGTAGGTGGGTATTTATAGGAGTGTGGCCGGAAGTGGGGGAGTGGCTGAGGTGTGGTCCTGCTCCTGAAATTCAGCTAAGTTTTATCTCCAATTAATTTGTATCTTGTTTACATCTGTTCTACTTTTTTTGTTTTTTGTTGTCCCTGTTTTTATTTTTTATATATTTGAATCTTTTTCCTGTTTATTTGTAAATTCTGTGTATGTAGGTGGAGAGCAAGGAAAAAAACATGGCCAATGATTCTGATTCTGACTACTACTGTGACTATTAGTGCATTTCTTATTATTACAGTTGTTACCACTCCTTCTGCTACTATTACTACTACTACTATTACTACTACTACTACTACTACGACTACTACTACTACTACTACTACTACCACGACTGCTACTACTTTTGTTAGTATTACTACTGTTACCCCTCCTTCTGCTGCTACTACTATTACTACGACTGTTCGTACTTTTGTCAGTATTCCTGCTGTTACCACTCCTGTTATTACTACTACTACTACAACTCTTACTACCTTTGTTCCTGCTGTCACCACTCCTTGTGCGACTACTACTACAACAACCTTTACTACTTAAGTTAGTATTACTGCTGTTTCCACTATTACTAATACAACTACTATAACGATTACTATCACGAATTCAACAACTGCCACTATTAGAACAACTACTATTTTCATAACTACTACTTCTCCCCCTACCAATACTACTATTCCTACAACTACAACAAGGTCTACTACTATTGATTATTGATTTGTTTTGTATACTAACTGCTAAAACTGTGTACTATGATTAATAATGTAGTATATACTGTATACAGTTAGTATTTGTGGCTTTCTATTGGCTGCAACAACACACTGTGTTAGGTGATTTAGCGAATGAGCCCAGATAGTGAAGATGATAGTTGACTTCGGATTAACTATCTCACTGTGATAGACAGTGTCGAAGGTTTTGGTACCGATTAATCGTAGTAACAACGATTTTGTGTGACCTACGGAGAGCCGGTAGAGGCATTTCACAATTCGCAAGAGAGGGTGTTAAACATGGTGGAGTGTTTTGCGAAATTGTGATGCTCCTAGACGAAAGGCCAGGGTGATTAGGTGTTAACAAACACCTTAAAAAACAACAAATAAAAAGTTAGAAAAACAAAATAAAATAGAGACAGAGGAAGCTGAGTCTCTTATAAGTTTGCACCTGTCGCACAGACATGTTTCTGTGGACACACACGGACACACACAGACACACACTCTCACACACACACACTCTCACACACACACACACACACGGTAACAGGGCTTTCCGCACCGTTGCACAAGGGGTCACACAGAAGTCACCTGCTGAGGTTGGCATTCTGCATTACACACATAGATCACACACATAGATGAGAATACCTTGGCCTTATTCTGACAGGTAGAGCTTGTGATGTTGTGATGGATGCACAGCTGCACGCATGGTGGGCGGTCTGGAAATACCGAGGGCGCCAGCCAGTCTTTGTACTCACGATTTATTACTTAGGGTCTTTCCCGGTTGCCTTAAGCACCGGCATTTGACCACGTCTTTACGCTGGGGATAAAAGGTGTTTTATGTTTTATTGTTTGGAGTGTCATGTATCTCTGTGTCCTGAAGGCATCAACCAGTGAGCGGGGTGTGTCATGTGTTCTGAGTACCAGCAGATATAATGGTGTCGGCATATACTGCTGACTTAGATAAACAGTACGATCAAAGGCCTGATACTGTCCTACCCCACGGAGGCACCAAGCCCCAGGGGGGTTAGAGCGTATAAGTATTCTCGGTCTTCAAGGAAAGAGGAGAGTTGGGGAAGAAGCCATCAGGTTAGAACCTGCGCTGGGTTAATCTTTTTAAACTTTTTACTCCGGACAATTGAACACAGCCTGCTCAGCTGAGGGCACAAGAGGGTTTTAAAATACTTTGTTGATTTTTATTTTCCTGTTAATCACTTTCTCTCTGTATTTGGACCAAGGGAATATACTTTGAATTGGACAAAAATAAATAAGGAACTTTTTTAACTTCTTCCGACCGACTCTTTTCTTCAACTGTTTTGGGAACTCAGAGAGGAGAGGGCTTCTCTTAAGGGAGAGACAGCCCAGCCCCTGTGGTAAGTCTGCAGCGATCCAGCACGGTACACAACTGATTGCATACTTTATGTGCACACACACCTACAGATACCAACACCAGTTTTCTATAGTGAAGAGAGACCCGGAGAAGTCCCGCTTGATTTTGAAAGAGCTTTATATCTGTTGAGCTCTGAGCAGGGACGGATAAATTGAAATTTGATATAAAATAAATAAATTCAACAAAAGAATTTATAAAGACCAACGGCTATTCGAGCGACCGGTTATACTGTTTAGTATATCCCTGTTTGGCGATTCGGAAAAGAAAGCAAACGAGCTATCGATACTGGGCTCGTGTTGGCAATTTATTACTATTTAGTGCAAATCAGCTACCGGTCCGAGGTTCTCTTAAGCGGAGGCATTGAGGCAAATCAGGGAGGGGTGAGCTATAGGCCACGCTCTCACATTAGGCCAGGTGAGCGATTGACATAGAGAGAGACCTGAACTTCGTTTTTCTCCCCCTTCTCGCAGCCTCTCGTTGCAAGTCAGGGGCGCTCACAGGGAGTGACCGGACAGCGGGGCACAAGTGCCGTGGATCCGTGGTCACTCCGACGGCAGCTCAGGTCTGTCCGTTGCCGGCAAGGGTCCTCTCAGTTCGCGCATCCACAGCTGAGAGCCCCTTGTTCCACTTTTGTTCGTTTCAAACAAAAGGCCGCTTATTTATTTATTACTTCTTGTTTCTTGATAAATTAAAACATTTTGATGAGAAATAATTGTGAATAAATTAAATAAAAAATAGTTTTTGATAATAAAAAAAATAAAAAAATTAAAATGTTTTTTTTTTGTTTATTAATTAAAAATTAAAATTAAGAAAGCGTGCGGGGGCACCGCGCGCAACAACTGATTCACTTTTTACTACTGCTGGTAGAAGTACTGTTGCTTTTTTTCGAGTAAAAACATGTGATGGTTCCAGATTTGACTCATTATATATACTTTTGATCAAAGGGACATTTTGAATGCAGGACTTTTACTTGTAACTGTGTATTTTTTTCGTATGTTTAATGTTGTAAAGACTCAGAATTATTCCTCCAACACTGCATACAAGGAACAACAAATAAGAAGAGAGAAAACATACAAATAAAGAACCAGTAGAATAAGAACTGTAGACTGAAGCAGTCTCTGCAGCCACCAGAGGACAGTAGTGTAAAGACAGAGACAGCAGGAGGTATGAAGGGCTGAGAATCAAAGCTTTTAAAACATCAAACTAATCTACATTTTATTGTTTTTTTACATGTATTTGCAAATACAGTGATGGAGATGAACAGGTGAAGTGAAAATACAGTGTACTGAACAGATATAATGGAATGACTGGCTTTATAATTGTGCTGTACAGGGGGTGGACACAATAACAGAAGCACAGAAAGAGGATGACTTTGACTATAGATGAAGTACAAACCAGAGGTACAGAAGGCCAGAAGAAGTCATGAATGATGATAATTTCTGTCTCTTTCCCTTCCTAATTGTGTTTTTAATTATAATGAAGTATTTTATTTCTTAATGGGTTTTCTTCTGTTTTTAGTTTTTTTCCTTTAATATTTTTTATTTTATTTTTTGTTATCATTTTATTTTGTTATTTTCTTTTTAATGTTTTTGTATTTTATTTTGTTTTGTCTTTTAATATATATCTCTTATTTTAATTTTTTGTAATTGTAGTAAAAGTATTTTTTTCCTTATTTTTTTTATCTTATTGTGTTTTTATTCGGCCATTTTATTTTTCAATGTTTTATGTATTTAATTGATTTTGTTGTATTATTTATCTTTTCTTGTTATTTATCCATTTTTTATTATTTAATTTTATTATTTTATTAATTTATTCTTTTACGTTTTTTATTATATTATTATATTATTTTTTTCGTGACCTCATCACTGACTGAGTGTTTCCGGAACTTCGTGCCTCCGCATCATTTACTGTTAGAACCGAACCACCGTCTTACATCACCGCTTCACTTGCACATCCGCGTGAAATAGTTCCCACATTTAACCCGTATCTTTGCTACTTTTACCCACAAAATGTACATATAATTGACTCTTGCTAACAGAAAAAGTTCTTTATTGTTTTTCACGCTGTCGTTTACACGCTCACGAGTCGTTTTAGTTCACTATGTAGCTCACATTTGGCGCGAAAATTGTCATGTGTGCGGATGGAGAAAAAAGGGGAAAAAAGGCACGAGCCGGAGTATTAAATGTCTCGAGAGCAGTTAGCGGTGATGACGCTGAGGCGACAACACGGAACACCTTTAGCTCTTCACCTGGAGTCATAACGGTGAGTTTAACAGCAGCTAACGGGGAGAGTTTAACACTAAACCAGCCTGAAAACACGCAGAAGTGAACACTGCAGTTAGTTTAACTCACGAACTGTATTTTAAGAGCTGGTCATTAAAACGGTGATGTCAGTGTTTCACGGTAGAGTTGCATGTTTTAAAACCGGAGACTGGCGGCTGTTGGTTAATCTGCTGAGCAGCAACACGTACTATATTATAATATATCATATTTGGACATACTTTTGTAATATTTTGACGTATTTTTGTAATATTTTGACGTACTTTTTGTAATATTTTGATGTATTTTTTTTAGTGCTGGGCAACGATTAAAATATTTAATCGCGATTAATCGCATGGAGTTTTTGCGATTAATCGCGATTAATCTCATTGTTATGGCAAAATTCAATAATGAATTCAAAAGTAGTGTATTGCGCACTTTTATTTTAAAAGTACTGCTATATGAACAAAAGGTCAATAACATTTGGTTCACGAGGTGCAGGTAGCATGTTTTATACTTAATGTGAATATAATTCATACTTTGTTGGCATCTTATTCTGAAAACCGGATGTTCGTCTGAAGAAACCGGATGTTGTCTCACGTAAATCTTTCCGCTAACTTTCAAAGTCCTTCGCTCGCTCCCGATCTGTGCCGTTTAAACGCGTTTACCGTGAATGTCAGCATATAGGTGCACTAAAACTACTGACTATAGGATGTTTGCTGGCTTTTATCCCACTGTTCTTGTCATCCTCTTGTTGTTATGTCTATGTATTGTCTCTTGTCTTTCAATTTAAAAAAAATAAATAAATAAAAATAAATTAATAAATTTTAAAAATGCGTTAACACGCGATAAAATAATTGTCGGCGTTAATTAATGAATGCGTTAACGCGAAATTAATGCGTTAACTTGCCCAGCACTAATTATTTTGACGTACTTTTTGTAATATTTTGACGTATTTTCTGTGATATTTGGACGTATTTTTTGTGATATTTTGACGTATTTTTTGTGATATTTTGACGTATTTTTTGTAATATTTTGACGTATTTTTTGTGATATTTGGACGTATTTTTTGTGATATTTTGACGTATTTTTTGTGATATTTTGACGTATTTTTTGTGATATTTGGACGTATTTTTTGTGATATTTGGACGTATTTTTTGTGATATTTTGACGTATTTTTTGTGATATTTGGATGTATTTTTTGTGATATTTGGACTTTTACTCGTATTCTTTCACAGCCTATAGATGAGATTTAAACCATAGAAGCCTCATTCTTACATGTTTTATTCTTTATATTCATCGTGTATCTGATCCCTTGTTGAAGGAGGTTTTGTTGGTCTAACTCTAAACCCTGACCTGGTGTCGTGTCTCCTCACAGACCGCCGTGATGCCGCCGGTGTTGACCGCGTCCAGCAGGAACTACGACTACGACTACGACACGGTGCAGCCTTACTTCTTCCTGGATGGCGAGGAGGAGGTGGAGGACTTCTACCTGCCGGGACCCGGAGAAGACATGTGGAAGAAGTTTGAGCTGCTGCCGACCCCCCCCGTGTCCCCGAGCCGGAGAGTCTCCCCGTCCGACGGCCAACACCTGGAAGAGGCGTCCCAACACCTGGAGGACCACGACCACCGCGACCCCTCCGCGGCCCTCCTCCTCCTCCAGTCCTTCGTCATCCAGGACTGCATGTGGAGCAGCAGCTTCGCCGCCGTCACCGAGCTGGAGAAGGTGGTGTCCGAGAGGCTGGCCTCGCTCCGGGCCCGTCGGGACTCCTCCTCCACCTCCTCACCTGATGGTGGTCAGCAGCCGGGCGGCTCTCAGGTGAACCTGTACCTGCAGGACTTCCACCACACGGACTGCATCGACCCCTCTGTGGTGCTTCCGTTCACCGCGGTGAAGAAGGAGACAGAACTGTGTCCGGACACACCGGCGCTCAGCAGCAGTGACAGTGAATCAGGTGGGGGGGGCAGGCTTTTATTTTGAAAAGGATCATTGTGGTTTATTACAACACAAAGTGTTATTTTTTGTAGTTTCATCTGTCGTGATGAAAACATCTACAGGATGGATGCCTTTAATATGTTACAATCCATTAATTTATCCATTAAATACCTAAAACACATCTTTCATTTCTTTCAAGCCTACTAGTAGTACTAATAGTACTAATAGTACTGATAGTACTACTAGTATTCTCACCAGAGCAGCAGTAGAATTATAACTCACAGCTTTAGTGACTCCACCATGTTTTCTTTATTTTAGAAGAAGAAGAAGAAGAAGAGATCGACGTGGTGACGGTGAACAGGCGGAAGGCATCCCGGCAGTCCGATGCCGGCAGCAGAGCGACCTCCCCCTCCCTCTCCTCCTCCCCCTCTTCCTCCTCCTCCTCGTCCTCGTTGGTCCTGAAACGTTCTCACGTAAACATCCATCAGCACGACTACGCCGCCCAGCAGCCCGCCGGGAAACGTTCAAAGCCGGAGAGCAGCAGCCCGGCGCTGAGGAAGAGCGGCGGCGGTGTCGTCGGTGGAGGCCGGCGGCGCTCTAACCCTCGGCCCGACGGAGAGGACGACCGGGACAAGCGGCGGACTCACAACGTGCTGGAGAGGCAGCGCAGGAACGAGCTGAAGAGGAGCTTCTCCGCTCTCAGGGATCAGATCCCGACGGTCGCCGACAACCACCGAGCCGCCAAAGTGTGGATCCTGAAGGAGGCGACGCAGTTCGTCCACGAGGTCCGAGAGGACGAGAGGAGGCTGCTGACGAGGAAGGAGGAGCTGAGGAAGAGGAGCGAGGAGCTCAGACACAGACTGGAGCAGCTGAGGACTTTACGTTAACGTTTATTTTATGTCACGTTCATCACGTCAGAAACTGACTCCAGAACGCCAAGACTGCAACTTACATCTTCTATCATTAACTATTTAATTCATAAATAATAGAACTACAAGGACCATAATTCACAATCTGTCAAACTGTGTTTGTTTGTATTTATTCTATTTTTATCTGATAATGATCACAGTGATCAATACTTGTATTATTATCGTTTCAGTTGATTTTAAATCAATACTTTGGCTCTGTTATTGTTTATTCTTTCATTCTTTCATTGTTTTTATTTAATTTTTTTAAACAGTTTATTTTTATATATTTTTCACGAGAGGAAGTACCTCTAGCCACTTTCAAAATAAAAGCCCTTCAGACATCAGTGTGAGTGTTTGTTTACATCGAGTCTCTTCGTTCAGTCAACGTCCAGCCGAGCAAACAGACGTCAGATCAGCAGACTGTCGTCATCGTGTTTGTCTCTGAGGAACAGGTGAAAGTTGAGCTTCATGAGTTAAAGCTTCATCCTCAGTTCTATCGCTCTATGACACGTTTTATAAATTACATGTTTTATAAATTACATGTTTTATAAATTTTTAAAATCTCTAAAAACTCAAAAAATCGAGATCAGACGGAATAACTGAAACTGATGTTTAAAACAAAGCAGCAGATTTCAGGCCTCGAATAGTTAAACAAACCTTTTTCTGTTTTTTGAGATATTTATGAAAACTTTCTCAGAGTCTCAAACGCTGAGATTCTTTAAGTCAAGTCCTTAAACTTCATAAAGTCAGACGCAGCTTTCTGGTCGTCTTTATGACGAAGTGGAAAAGTGACGAAATGAAGTGAACCAACAATTAATAACATAAAGTACACAAAGTAAATGAAGGGAAACACAAAATAAGTGCAGTTGATGGTGACGGAGCAGTACATAATACACTACAAAAAAACAGAGTACGAGCTGTGTACAATCGTGTGGATTTAACCTTTTCAAAAGGTTTTTTAATTGATGTTGAGCTGCTGTTAAAAAAAACAAAAGACTTCCTGTAAACAAGCTCTTGAACCACTGGGAGGCTTTTATTGTGAAAGAAAAAAAAGGTCAAACAGGAGCAACTATAAATATATTTAATAGTGCTGGGCAAGTTAAAGCGTTATTATGGCGTTAACGCATTAATTAATTAACGCCGACAATTATTCTATCTAGCTATTTATTTATTATTATTGTAACAGACTGTCTCATGTTTATCGTTTTGTATTGGAGATGATATGTCCCTCAGGGTTGCCGTAGAGAAAAGGCGACGGTAAAGTCAGCAGACTCTTACATGTTAGTGCACCTATATGCTGTAATTCACGGTAAACGCATTTAAACGGCACAGATCAGGAGCCAGCGAAGGACTTTGAAAGTTAGCGGAAAGATTAACGTGAGACAACATCCGGTTTCGTCAGACGAACATCCGGTTTTCAGAATAAGATGCCAACAAAGTATGAATTATATTCACATTAAGTATAAAACATGCTGCCTGCATCTCGTGAACCAAATGTTGTTGCCCTTTTGTTCATATAGCAGTACTTTTAAAATAAAAGTGCGCAATACACTACTTTTGAATTCATTATTGAACTTTGCCATAACAATGAGATTAATCGCAATTAAATATTTTAATCGTTGCCCAGCACTAATATTTAAATATAGAAAATAAAAGCACGTCTTAAACAAAGGCCTGATTCTTCGGTATGAAAATTGCAAAACAACATGCAGAGAATTAAAAAAGCTAAAAGACTGAAGAATAAGATCGTCTGTGTCAGTGGGAGGAAGGCTGAGAGGAATTTCCCTTCGAGGCAGAAACGAAACAGAACAAAGAAAACAAACATCTAAAAATAAGTAAGGTCAAGTTAAAATGTGGAACATGTGAATGTGTCAGAGGTAAAGTGAGTAAAGGGTGAGTCATCGGTGTCTCCCCTTCACCTCCCTCTCTACGCTCCAGCTCACCTCTCAGCTTCTTCAAACACAGAGTTTCAACTGTTTCTGTGACACCTGAACGCACCACTCGTTTGGTAGGACAGGTTGTCTTCAAACTGTCTGTGTTGCGAAATCCGTTTTCCAGAGCAGTGAACTTCTCTTCAGGAGTTCTTTGTTTTAGAACAGTTCAAAGGGTCCAGTGGGATTTAGTGACATCTAGTGGTGACGGTGCAGATTACAGCCGACTGACACTTTGTCCTCTGCGTCTGAAAACTAACTCGACCGCCTCGAGCGTAACACACATCCGCGCCTTTATTAGACGCTCAGAGCGACTGACGTCTTAGAGCACACGTATCAAACTCAAGGCCCGCGGGCCGAATCCGGCCCGCCACGTCATTTTATGTGGCCCGCGAATCCACCAGCAAAAAAACAAAAAAAAAAAGTTTTTGTTTTTTTTTAATTTTGGAAAAATAAATTTAAGTTAGACTTGAAAATAAAAGTATCCCCATGGTCGAAATTATGAGATAGAAAGTTGAAATTCTGAGATAGCATGTTGAAATTATGAGATAGCATGTTGAAATTCTGAGATAGCATGTTGTCTGTGTACCGACATTAAAACTATCACAACAGGTGGACAGGAGAGGGAACAGCCCGTAAAGAGGTTTTCCATCAAGTGATTGAGTTGAAAAAGATCGACAAATAATCCCAAAATGTCCACGAAGAGAAGAATTGATGCAGAGGGAAGAAGATGTAATGAAAGATGGGAAAGAGAATACATGTCTGTGCTTCAGGGAGAAAAACGGGTCTGTCTTCTGTGTTATGATGCGTGTCGTGATGAAGGATACTATTTACGTCGGCATTTTGACACCAAACACGGAGCTAAATTTAGCCTCCAAGAAAAACATAAAATTGTCCAAGAATTAAAAGGCAGAGTGCAATCACAGCAGAATATATTTACAGAAGCTACAGCCCAGTGCATGCTAAAGGTATGTGAGCAGGTGAGCTCCGACCAGATACAGACTTTTACAAATGTCAGTTTGTGAAGAAACACCATCGCAGACCGAGTTCAGGAACTAGCAGCAATCTAACAACACAGCTAGCTCAGAGACGAGATACATCATCTATCAGTGTTTGTAAGAGGCTGAAGGCAGACCTGACTCTGTGAGGAGCTCTTGTAGCTGCCATGCACGGGACGACGGCAGGGACATTAGTGATGCAGAGAGGTGACAACAATAGCTTTGAACAAAGTTAATGTCATAACTTGTGTTTGATGATATTTGTCTTTGTTATTTTCTTTAATAGTTTGATCTTTGATAGAGTAATGTGGGTTTCTTAACCCTAAATTAAAATGATTTATGTTATAACAGAAATGTGCTTAAATATCATTTTACATTTATATAACTGCATGTACAATATTTTTACACTTGAATAAACAATAATCAAAAGCAGAGACAGTTATTTAACAATATGTTAGGAGTAGTTACATTTATACAGTCTTACAGTTACAACCGGCCCTTTGAGGGAAACATGATGCTGATGTGGCCCGGAGTGAAGATGAGTTTGACACCCCTGCTGTAGATCAACTGACATCTTGAAACAACGGTTCGTATGATTTCTTATGGAAAAGTTATTCATCGTTTTTTTTGCTTTTTCCTTCGTTTCTACTTGTTACATGAAAAATCTTTTCAAAATAAAGGTTTTAGACCTGTTTAGATTTACACAACAAAACTACACTTCTCAGCTGTTACTTAAATGTCTTATGTGTACTTGTAGTTGTATAAATAAACTGTTCTGCATCACTGAAGATGGGTTTTTTCCCCTTCATGATGAGAAAGAAAATGAAAGTCAGGTAAAATATTTTTTTGTGGTTAATGTACATCAACAGCAGCTATAAATACTGCGGTGTTTCCTGAACTTTAAACTCAACATCTGGTGTTTCTAAGAAGTTCAGCCGACCTTTAAGAGAAGCTTAATGCTGCGTTCACTGACATTCAGTTCATCAGAAGACTTCTCAGACAACAGACGTCAACTTTGTTTAATACAAATTCTTCGTCTCTGCATCCGTGGAGGAAGTACTCACATCATTTACTGCAGTAAAAGTACTAATACCACACTGTAGAAATACTATGTTACAATAATAGTACCAATACCACACTGTAGAAATACTCTGTTACAATAATAGTAC